AAAAAAAAAAAAAAAAAAAAAAAAAAAAAAAAAAAAAAAAAAAAAAAAAAAAAAAAGTAAACCCACACTCGGGCAAAAAGATTTCAGCGGCCGCCGACGCGGTAGTAGCTCCACTCGTGGCCGGAGCGAGTGGAAGCCGGCGTACCTGAGCAACCCGGGGAACCGGCCGCTGCTCGAGGCGACGGTGGGCCAAGCGCTGGAGGAGGCGGCGCGGCGCTGGCCCGAGCGCGATTGCCTCGTGTCGCTGCAACAGGGCGCCCAGCGCCTGAGCTTCTCGGGGCTGCTCGACCGCGCGGATCGGCTCGCCGCCGGGCTGAGGGGCCTTGGTCTGCGCAGGGCCGACCGGGTCGGAGTCTGGGGACCCAACCACCTCGAGTACACGCCCCGATATACAATCAAAAATGTCCACAATGTCACAATTCATGTGTCATGTAAAATCATGTGTACAGGTGGCTGGTGAGCTACATGGGGGCGGCGCGGGCAGGCTTGGTGGTGGCGGGCATCAACCCGGCGTACCGGCCGAACGAGCTCGAGTACTGCCTGGGCAGGATAGGCGCCAGGGCCGTGTTGGCGGCTGGCTCCTACAGGGAGCAAAACTACGCGGATATGCTGCTCCGGGCCAAGGGGACCTGCCCCGCTCTCGAGCACGTCGTCGTCTGGGGCCAACGGGGACACGTCTCGTAAGCCAAAACACTCCAGCAGCTCCAATACCTCATACATACATATCGCTCTTCGTGTACGAATAGTCACCTGTATACACCATAATGTATGCATATCGGACGCTCGACGCGATAAATTTTCCGAGCCACACTTGTTATTCATGGACATTGTGTATACGTGTATCGTCGCGTGTGTGCACCTGCGACATCAGAGTACACGTGTGTGTGTGTGTGTGTAGGGCTTTTCATTTCCGTATAGGATGGATAATGGACGAGGTCTCCCTTAATTTCTCTGCACGTCGGCGTTCGCCGACAGCGCGCGTACTTGTACACATATGTGCAATGTAAATCTTTTAAAATATATATATATAAATATGCGATGTGTAGGTATGTCCCTTTGTAGGATATGGGTATGTGTGTGTATAATATAATATATGCCTGCTTATGAGAAATTTTGGGCTCGCGCGGTATAAGGCTAGTAGGTTAAATGAATATTCGATTTCAGCTGCCCTTCTGACCCTCGCCGATCCATCTATCTATGTATATGTACATGTATACGCGGATACACCGGTCAATCATCTGCCGTTATCGTTGCCTGATGCGGACATCAATAATCCATGCCCCGGTGGCACATTGTAAGTGTTTCTTATTACGCAATTTTTACAAAGATAATTCCGTAAGAATCTGCCTCTCAAAACTTACGATGTGCCACTATATCCTCATGTGTTTTCGATTCGAGTTATTTTAATCGGTATTTTTTTTTTTTTTTTTTTTTTTTTTTTTTTTTTTTTTTTTTTTTTTTT